GTTCCTAGATCCAAGTTAAATCTGAATCCAGGACTAACAGAGCCTTAAATTGGAACAGGCATGGCAAGTCCACAGGAAACCAAGAAAGAACAAAAGTAATGCCTGATATTAGCGATACCATCAAAATGCAAGAAATGATTGTCAACATATTAATTGGATTCTTGGCACATCGAGCACCTGTTAGGAATATTAATGTTTCTATTAGGAATCAGAAGCCTCTATGGTTAAGGTTTTCCAGGCAGTGCCTTACGAAGAAAGGCACCTTAGGTTCCAAAGTACAGTCACTTCCCAAGTCCCACCATTTGTGCCACCTTGCTACCAAAGCCACAGGGTAGGATATAACAAAAGGTTTGAGGGGGGAGGGGAGCTTGCCCTTAGGCCTTGGGGTCCCATGATCTGCAGATCACCTCATCCTGCTGATCTGGGAAAACTGATTGCATCTTCTAATTTGTTGAAAAGACCTAATTAAGACAGTTATGGTCCATGGAACCATGTCACTATGTAGGTGGAAGAAGCGATCTTGTCCACCTGGGGAAAACATAAAAAATCCAAGCGCAGATCTGGTGGTAAGACAGACATTTTGATTTTCGCCCTTCTCATTGTTGCTTCAGCTGAAGTGAGAAGGCCTTAGGGTCCCCTTTTTGGGTTTGCCAGGTTTTTTTTTGACAGGTAATGTGCAACATGGGTAAATTCAGGAGAGTACTTGCTGTGCTCCACTGGAATTGGTAATAATTATGTTTTATATGGATAGGGATGAGTTGTATCATATATGCCTACCTGACTATCTGTCATTGCTGTGTCTGTTCATTGTCTATATACTGTAGGCACTCAGTATTGTATGGTAACTGACATGGGAACTGGAATACAGTGTGTATCCAGAAGTCTGACTTGGTGAGGCTAAGAAAAATGGTCTCAGGAACATGTCTACAAAAATGTATATACTTCTTAACTAGATGACAGTCCTATAGAAAATGGTCTAAAAATTTATTGTTGTTACTTAATGACAGTCCTATAGAAAATGGCATAAATTATTTACATTAGCTGTTCATTTACATAAAATAAGGAGCGAAAGGAAAGTGTTACTTGGAAATTTCCCTCAAGAATCCATAAAATGTTGGCATCTGATTGTTTTCAACACGAGCATTTGATCCATTTAGAGGAGTCCATGCAACAATGACTTTAAGTTCATCTGTGTATGGAAAATGGCGTAAGTTCTTTACATTAGCTGTTCATTTACATCAAATAAGGAGCAAAAGGTACGTGTTATTTGGAAATGTCCCTCAAGAATCAATTGCCAGTATCTGACCGTCTCCAACATGAGCATTTGATCCATTTAGGGGAGTCCATTCAACAATAACTTTAAGTTCATCTGTGCATGTCTGGCACATCTGTCAGGGCTCAGGGGGTAATGAATGCCAATGAACAAAGCTTAAGTTCATAAATGGTGCCCATATTCTTCCAAGAGGCACTCTAGAAACACACATACACACACTTGATCATAAAGACCGGCTCCTTTTTCTTTTAATCCCAAACCCAAATGTTTGAGGTGGAGCTGCACTCAATTTGAGTTATTAATAGAAAGAAAATCAATAAGATTTACACTGCTGGCTGTTGAACCAGGTCTACTGTTCAAAGCCAGATATTCTAGCTGCTAGATGACAATGGATGAATGGAAGTCAACTTTTCAATTCTATGACAATAATATTATTTTTCCAGGGATTTGATAGAGAAGGGAAATTGCGAGCAATTTGTGGTGGTGGGCGATATGATCAGCTACTTTCAACATTTGGAGGTGATGATATTCCAGCTTGTGGTTTTGGGTTTGGAGATGCTGTCATAGTGGAGGTAACATGTGAATGGGTGACAGAATTAATTTTTTTTATCAGTAACAACAAGATTTTATTGCCTTTATGAAATAAGAAATTCAGAAATTTTTTTTCTTAAACTAAGGGGCTGTTTTTTAACAGATGAAGTGTCTTAATGACTCACTGTCTTGTCTTTTAGGCTGTATTTGGTTTGAAAGAAAAGAAGGGAAGGAAAAAGTAAGGAAGGGAAAACTTTTCTATTCATCCTCGCCCTTCCCTTCCCTTCTCTTCCTTTCTTTTCTTTCAAACCAAAAACAACCTTAGTTATATTAATATTTAAGGGGCTATTTATAACAAGTGGCTGAACCCAATGACTTGTTTTGTGTTTTAATGGATAAAGTAATTAAAATATTTGAGTTATAATAATTAACCACCAACTTTACTATTCTCTTGGGCATTTTATTGATTATTTTATCTACTAAAAGACAACAATATGATATTCTGTTTAGCCACTTTAGCTATTATCAAGCAACCCTAAATCTTATTCAGCATAATGAGAAAGCTGCAAGGCTAAATGCATCATTTAGTTGGATCCTTAGACCATCATTCGGTAAGACTCCTTTGCTGACTCACTAGGAAGTGGAAGGAGTTAATAGACAACTTCTGTACTGGGGGTCCTACCCTCCTGATTAGAGTACTACCTTTTATCTGTTTATGAGGGGCTTTATGCAATTGAGTAGAGCAGTAGTGTGGCTTTCTCATTTTTATATAATGTGGAAGGTTTAAGCCCCTTTCTTCAGTATACGTTTTTTTTTTTTTTTTTTTGAAGAAACTCTTCTACGATTATCTGAATAAAATATCCGTTCCGTTACAAATAAAAAAACAATTGAATTGTTCAGGTTCAGAATGTCAGAAATGGTTTTGTCCCAAAATGACCCTAGTTACCAATCACTTGGAAGAGACAAGTGCTTTCGCATGCTGTTTTATTACAATAGCCATCCTGTCGAGCCACTTTTTGCTTCCATTCTTTTTCTTTTGCTATGTGTTATTGGAGAGGGGGGGGGGGGGTGTTGCTGCATCATATACAAATGATAGGGGCATGAAGTTACTTTTTCAATACTTTTACTGTTGCATTGTACATATATTTCTCTCTGTGCACATGCATGCTTGTAGGGATGATCATTTCTAACCGGCTGTGTCACTGTGTGTTATTTATATAATATAAAATATTACATGTATACCATATTTTAGACTTACTAACATAGGCCCAAAGCCCGGCCTTGCCCATGACAACCCCTACATGTTTGCAAAGAAATGACGGCAGGGTGGTGGTCGTGACAGCTGATCAAGGAAAAGGGGCTTCTACCAGAACTTAGCCATGAAGTAGAGAATATTGTATGCCCACTGGATAAGGAGCTGCAAGGAGCAGCTGCTACAGTTGCAACGATCCTCAGACAAAAAGGCCAAAGCGTTGATCTTGTGTTGGAGAACAAACCCCTTAAATGGTATGCATAATCCAGATTGTCAACATTGAGATGATTAGTTGTTAAGATATACTAATAAAATGGGTTCAAGTTCGGCCAAGAACAGATTTTCTGATCTTATTGTTTATGTGGCTCCCTTGCATATCCATCTCTTCAAGGGTTTTCAAGCGTGCCGCACGGATTAATGCTGGCAGGTTGATCTTGGTCGGAAACTCAGAGTGGCAGAAAGGTATGGTTGGAGTGAAGATTCTTTCTACAGGTGAACAATACGAGATTAAACTTGATGAGTTGGAATAAATATTCATTTGATAACCAAAAAGTTTACACAGATTTTCTATATTCATCCTTGATAGGGTTTGATGAGTTGGAGATTTTGCTATTCATTCTTGTGGGTCCAGTTTTAGCCCCTTGCAAATTCTTAAATTCAATTGGAATTTGAGAACTTGTGAATCGTGATAACGTGCTTTCAGGACTTGATTCTGGACTTGGAATTGCTTACCATAACTTCTAAATAAGAAAAGTAGGCCAAATACCATCACTGCCCTTTCCAACTCTCCCGTGAATCGGTGACACGGTACAAATTTTTGAAAGAAATCGCAAAATACAGGGGAACCCAAAAGGTCAAAACACAAATCTTGTATCGTTAACATCTTGTCCGATAGACAATTTACAGGATCACACAGTGGCTTGACCTGATTTAGAACAAGACCTGTTCACGGGCCGGGGCTTAGCCTCTTTATTAACGTAAAATATCCAGGCCCTTGCCCAAGCCTGGCCCTTAATAAAGCCTGAAGCCCTGGTTTATATTATTATATATAATAATTGGCCCAGGTATATTTACAAAAGCCTGGCTAAAAAATAATCGGGCTTGATACTTATAGTCCTAGCCCGTGGACAAGCCCATCGGGCTACCCAGCCCATTAACAGGTCTATTAATTGAAACTGGGTCTTTCCTTGGGTTTCAGGCCGAATGCTCCATGGTGTTTGGTCTAGCTCGGCCAATTTCTAAATTCTAACCATGAGTCGGTGACACCAAAATGTTCAGCTTTTTTTTTTTTCCCTTTTTTCTTTTCTGAAGTTATGTATTTTGAATTTTCATTTTTTAATTCGAAACATGATTTCCGAGACATTAATGGAGGTCTGTGTCTGTGATAACATGAGATGCTTCAATTTAATAATGGCAATCTTACAATGGAAAAAGCCCCCGTACTTACTGTCATATGGTATTAACTACGCATGGTTGACCATGCCTGAAGTCTGCCAGTATATAGTTTTAATTGCTCAAAAACTGCTATTCATCTCAGCGCACATTAATTGCTCATGGGAGTGTTCTTAAAATTTTTGAATAAAAGAGAATGGGTTACTGTTGCTTAAATATGTATTTAACCGTCCAAAACCACTATGTAGGTCATATTCATCAAAACAAAAAATTGCATTGAATTTTGTCTAACTTAACAAATGAACAGAGTTTAGGGAATGGAGATTCTAAGGAATAAACTCCCTTGAGATGGAACTTGGGAGAGAGATGAAGTAGGACTTGCGAGAGAGGACTGTGTCACTGTGGTAATTGGAAACATGATGTGGTTGACCAAAAATAAGGAGAATGAGAAGGAAAAAGGGAGACAGTGCACGCATCTAACCTCAGGTGTGACATATTTTGTGTGGCTTATGCTTCAAACTGGCCTCAAGTGTTATGCATTGCCTTTTCAACGAGCCTGGATCTCCTATAAGCAAAAACCCTGTTTCATGGGACCCAACGACACAATGAGAATATCTAAATTCATGAGGAGATGTTTCCAATGTGTGCTTGGATGCCCATGTTTGTAAAGTGTTGAGATTTTGTTTGCAGGAGATCTCGTTGCTTACAGATGACTATGGGTTGGTTTGGTTCAGTTTCAAGGCAGAATCCTAGAATGTACCCTGTAGGGATCGGTTCTAGGTTTTTTGAAATTGGAACCTACCCTGTCAAGTTCAATTCTAGGGTCGGTTTTGGCCTTAACAGTTTCGAGATTGGTTCTAGGGTTTATCTAATTACATCACCTTTACCTTTACCTAGGGATGAGCATAGGTTGGTTGAGTTCAGCTTCAAGGCAGAACTTGGAACCTACCTATAGGGGTTAGTTCCAAGTTCTTTGAATCCGAGAGCTTATCCTTTTAGGATCAATTTGAAGGTCAGTTCTAGCCTTGGCAGTTCCAAGATTGATTCTAGGGTCTATCCATGGAACATGTTCTTTCCTTACACTGCCCCCCCCTCCCTCCAAAAAAAAAAGGGAACCTATTCTTTAAAAATTGATTTTCAAAATAAAAAAAAAATAATAAAGTTCATAACTAATATTCTGTAGATTATCATAATATATTAATAAACACTACAAGCAATTTAAATTTTGTAAATATTACCCTTTACATTTTTTATTATACACATTCAAATAATAAATTGAAGAAACATGATGAAATCACTTGAGTGACTAAATGGTCAAAGGAGGCGATGATTTTTATAACCACAAGTATTTGGGTTAAATCTTCGCATCTTTAACATATTTGGGATTTATTTCAAGGCAAGTCCATATCCAAGCTCCCACCAAGGTAAACCATAGTTGGTTTCACCAAGGCCAACTAAACTATGTTTTTTTGAGTTGGTTTGGGTAGGGTAAGTCCCTAGACCCTAGAACTGGCTCGAATAGGTCGGTTCTAAAAATTTGGAACTATACCATACTTATTAACAAATTGGGTAAGATTGATTCAAGGTTGATTTTAAGTTGATTCCAAGTAAAACCTATTCATTTCCTAACCCCTACCTTTACCCACTTTGTAACAATCTATATACATATAGTGTTGATTCGGGTTCAACTCTATAATCAAACTCCAAACAGTTGGATGGGTGAATTGGTTAGCCGGATGAATATTGTGTGAACCAAATAACTGTAAGAATTGGACTGGTTTACCTAGTTAATGGCCAGACCGGAAATGCTTTGTTTTTGTTTTTTTGAAGGACCCCCAAGTATACATTAACTGAATTTTCTCCTCACAGCACATGGAGAATATCTCCTGATGTTCCCAATGCACCGCTGGATGTGCGTTGGTGCGAGGAACATACCCGGATTCATTGTACTTTTGGGGTTGTGACTCCAGTCCCTCCACCAAACGTATAGTGTGTCATGATATGAAAGTACAGGGGACAACTGTTGTAAAAAAATAATTAAGGGGGCTAAGTTTCAAACGGGCGCTTAGTACAAACAGGTCGGTCCCACCGGTATGGATGAGCTAACCGTTTGGAATTTGTGTGGACCGGATTTCTTATCCCGGTTCGATCAACTGACTCGAGCTTGATATAGAACTAGAGGAAAGGAAGCCTTGGCGATTGGTGAAATAACCATGACATCATCAGGCCAACCGGTTCAAGTGTCAAACCGGTTTGCAGCTGCAGCTTTGACGAGATGTTGGTTAGTGGTTACTCTACAGAGGGCCCACAATTTGATTGGCGATGATAGGTAGGACGACTACGATGATGATGATGATCGGACGGTGGAGAATTTAAACTGTATAAGACAACAAGCTCGTCCGTAATAAACGAAACAAACACCTCACGCGCGCCGGCTTTATTCCCTCTTTCTCTCCATTCAAGAGTCAAGACTCAAAGAAAGCTTGAACCCGGGCGGGTGGTTCCTCTCTGACCTCTCTCTCTCTCTCTCTCTCTCTCTCTCTCTCTCAGTTGCTCCTCCTTCCTCCATTGATTCTGCACCCATCTCTCCTCTTTTTCTAACAGCTTCTGTATCGTCTCGGGCGGTGCTTTGGTTCTTCTTATCTCAACAGCAGCTCCATCTTGTCCTTACTCCTTCGTTTGTTAATTAGATGGAAGGAACATCTGTCAGAAGCGACTAGCGAGCGAGAGAGATCCATATCATATGGCAATGAAGTCTTCGTTCTAACAGAGGGACCTCGTCACTGATGTTCTACGTTTGTTCACGTGCAGCCCGCCTAATTCTGCAATTTTCGCCTAATTCTTTAATTTTGGAATTTTATAAGGTGATTTTTTATCTTGGTTTTCTCCAGTTTAAGAGTCTTGCTTTGTTTGTTAAAATTGTTCTTTTCCTTCTATGTTTTAGTTCTTTTGTGGGGTATTAGAAGGGATGGTTGCTCTGATTTTTCAATTGTTTTGGTTGGGAATTAGCAGGAATGGTGACTGGCGGGAATCAACCGGAAGATGGGGAGAAGAACCCAGCAAGCATTGCAAGGGGAGGCATTGCAAGGTCTTGGGGGACAACATTTTCGGGGCAATCTGTCTCGACAAGTGGGAGTGCGGGGTCTCCATCCAGCCGTAGCGAGTTGGCTATGGCGACTCCTGCCAGTGAGAACACTTTTGTGAGATTGAATCACCTCGATATTCATGGAGATGATTCTGGATCTCAAGGAGCCGTTGTGTAAGTCTATTGTTCTTTGTTCTTCTTCGTAATTTTGGTGAGAATTCATGAAAATAATGAATTTAAGTGGGGTTTGTTCTTATGGCGGGCCATTTTCAAGTTTATGGGAAAGCCATGATATGTTTGGATATTAGGTGGGAATTTTTGGAATTGTTCAAGCATTTCACAAATCTGGTTAGGAGAAAACCCTCAATTATTATATGCATATAAAGGTGGTATTTTTCTTATGCATTGTGGAATTGTTATAAGTTGATTAGTGAAACAACCCTCAAACTTGACATGCACATGAAAAGGGTGTTGTTCTAATGCATTGCAGAATGCTTAGAGGCATTGGTCTTCTGTTTCAACTTTCATCAATTCTCAACGTTGTGGAGGGGAAGAAAGAAATCGTTGTTCTTATTTCTGATGTTTTATTCATTGTGTTTGTTTTGTATGCCATCATGTTACTACTCTAATCTTCATAGTTAATTAACTCCAGAAGCCTGGTATTGTATAACTTCAGGCTATGCATATCTCTTTCCAAGAGGATGTTAACTGATTTTCTATTTCTGAGCAGTGGAAGGAAGAAGAAAAGAGGTCAAAGGGCAGTTGGTGGTGATAAGACTGGTAGAGGACTTCGTCAATTCAGCATGAAAGGTGACCACTTTTTCCCCCCTTCCCTTTCTGTTATTCATTTGATGCACTGTTCTTTTTTTTTTTTTTTTTTTTTTTTAATTTTATAAACGGAAGCAGTAGCTACTAGCTAGGTGAGGAATTTCTTGGGAAACTCTAGTCCTGCACTTAAGAAGTCTTATATGTTTTTAGTACATATTGTTTAGAATTAGGCCATTGTCCATGATGACGATCACTTGCAGATAATTATTTTGGTCATTTTCTTGCTGATTTTGTTTTTGTCATGTCTGTGGTTGTTTCTAGTCTGCGAGAAAGTTGAAAGCAAGGGAAGAACCACTTACAATGAGGTCAGGTGACTTTTGAACTCGTATTTATATTTTTGTATAGGGGGAAAATAATTGTTAACTTGTTGTTTGACCAGTCATCAGGTTAGTCATAAAGTGTTGGCCTTCCAGTAAAAAAAAAGTGTTTGCCTTGTTGCTTATCTTGGTGAAATGCTCTGTGTCTTTCATTGAATTTTCTCAGTGATTCATATTATTTGAATGACTGTGTACCTTGATGGAGGTACATATCAAATAGGTGCATAAATTACATGTCTCACTAACTACAAAACGCAATTTGTAGTTGTACTCCTTATGATTGGACATAATTTTCTATGCTTTATGAATATCACTAAAAATGGTGATTGGTTTTTCCCTTTGGTTGGGAGGTTCTGTTTGGGAACAGAGGGAGTAGTAAGAATTAAAAAAAAAGAAAATAACTTGGTAACTTCTAAGGAAGCAATAACAACTTTGACAACTGTAAGAGGTGGCTGTAAAAGCATCAGGGGAAGAGGAAGCGGTGGTAGGGGCAAGACACAGGCAGTTTAGAGGGATTCTTATATGGTGGGTGTGGCTTTGATTTTTTGAGGGTGTCACTGTTGGGAAATTCTGGAGGCTGTAAGGTTTGTAATTCTTTGTTCTCGTTTTTCGTTTCTTATGTAGTTGGCTGCGGTTTTGAGAGGCTTAGGGTTGTAGATTTGTACATCTTTTGGGGGGCTCTTTGCTCACTTGCACTGCACAGATTCTGTCTTTTGCTACTCTTTCTTTTTCTAATAAAATTGTTTTCATTTTACTATTAAAAAAATTAATGTTTATGTGCATGTACATGTCTCCTGAAAAACCTACACCCAAAACCTCTGAGCTACTATCTTAATGAACTTGGTGAATTATACTATGATGATCATAGATGCTTGTAAACCTTGTGCATGATGGGCTCAATGGATGGAAAAGCATATATATTCCTAGGAACTTGATTTAAAAGATAATAGATGCAGCTATGTGAAAACTGATTACTGATACAATGAATGCTAACCTTGAGTTATGCTAATTGCTTAGCACTGATATGCTTGAATTTCTGGTATATGAACTGAAAATATAGATTATAGTTAAATCTTTTTGGACACGAAATCAACCATTCAAGGAGATCAAGCATGCCAATGACATTAAATTAGAAATTTCCATAAATGCTAATGTATAGCAACCATTTTCATTAAGGCATCTATTTATTTGCATCAAAGCATTAAAACAGGATCAATCCATTATATGTACCCAACGAATCTTGCAAATCAAAGCCTTCTTAGTATCGGTTAAAATATTAAGATATGGCAGCAAGCAAAATAAATAGTATTAAGATTTCACCAATAACACTAACTATAAACAATGAGGGATATATGGTCCAAAGAATTAAAATCTTGACATGAGAATGAGATAATTGCATTATTGCCCACTAAAATTTCAAGATGATGTCCTTTCTGAAGGGACCTTGTTAGACTCATTCCTTGAAGTATAGCTATTGTTTCTGCCATTGTTGAGTTTCTGTGGCAAATGGGGCTTGAACATAATGTTATTGTTAACCCTCTTTCATCTCTGAAAATGTGTCCTATACCAGATGGGCCAGGGTTGTTTACACGCCACCCATCTAAGTTTAGATTTATCAAATTTACATGTGGTGATGACCATAGAGAGCTGACTCTTGGTCTGGATGTGGAAGATTCAGCCATCCAAAATCACCCTCTTCTTATATTATGGAGAAAGGGTAAAAAATGTTCATTGTTTTAATCCAATGAATTGCCTTTATAATGATGCCTTCAATTAAGTAACTTGTTGATCATTTTTTTTGATAAATGAATAATAATTTTCATAGTTTTCAAGGCGCCAAGGCGAGGCTAGGCTAGGCAACAAGGGGGCGCCTAGTCGCCTAGTTTCCTAGGCATCGCCTAGGCGATGGATTTTTTTTAAAAGTAAAAACATGTATCCTAGGGTAGTTCCCTAGGTTCCATAATCATATTTCCTTAATAAATGTCTATAATTTTCATAAGAAAAGTATAAACTTCATGTTAAAGTATAGAAAATCAACACATTCCAACGTACTCATGAGTATAGAAAAAGAAGAAAGAAAAGAAAATTCGAAAAATATAGGGGCTGAACCCCTATTTCTGTTATAGGAAAAGAAGAAATTAGTATATAAAAACACAAAATTAGTAAAGGAAAAGAAGAAAATGTGTTGATTGGACAACATTTTATGATCTTTCTTACTTATTGGTTCAGGTTTTGAAGTCTTTGAGGGTTCAATACAGCATTTAGCAATGTTTGTGTTGATTAAATCCTAACAAATAAGAAAATAACAAAAAGAAATTAGTATATAAACACACAAAATGAATATTTTAGTTTAAAAATGTCTATTTTATAATTCAAAAAATTAAGAATATAAAAGTTTGTTATAACACACTATAGAAAACTGCTTGGCGATTAGGCGAGGTGGGACCCCAAGGGCGCCTTGTCACCTAGGTGTCGCCTTGACAACTATGATAATTTTATTAATATGAAAGGAAGTGTACATTCACCCTAAGAGGAGGCACGTGATGTTACCTCCCCTTAGAGGTGAGAGCATAATCTAACTCTTAACAGAATACAATCATAGGGTACACAAAATAATTCAACCCTTGAGACCCCTTGTTTGGCCAAAGAATCAGCCATGACATTTGCTGATCTGCTGACCCACTGAAAGCGGACTGACATATTCCTTGTGAGCCAATTAACTTTTTTAAGAAGATCCTTGTAGCCCCAGAAAATTGTTTCTGGACTCGACAACCAACCCACTACCACCTTAGAATCTCCTTCAACTATTAGATTTTCCACTCCTAGTTGGTTGGGGACCTGTCCGCAGCTAGCATCTCAGCCCTTGTAGAATCACCAACTCCCATTGGTCCTAAAAACATGGATAGAATTTTGCTATCCTTATCTCTTAAGATCCCTCCTATACCTGAAGGCCCTGGATTACCTTGATTGCTACCAAGAAAGTTCAGCTTTACCACACCCTCTGTAGGAGGTCTCCACTCTACCTGTAGTCTATTCTTTTTTGGGGGCTGTGGAGGCCACCTCTGCCCAACTTTCCAGAGATCATCAAAGGAGTAACCTTTAAACAGATCTAAAGTTTTCAACCAATGAATTGTTCTTGTCAAAATACACTTCTTTACTTCATCGATGCTTCTTTCCTTTTCTTTGAATATTCTAACATTCCTATCCTCCCAAATAGTCCACAAAATGGCTGCTCCGTTGCTTTGATGCACTTCCACAATAATTTCCCTCTCTTAGTTGGCTGCCCAAAAGTAGATGGATCAAATAGCAAGTTTACTTCAGAGGGCAAGATCCACCTACCTACACCCAAACAACATAAAGACCCAATTCCAAATATTAGCAGCAAAAGCACATGATAACAACAAGTGGTGGCAACCTTCATTATGCACTTTACACAAAATACACCAGTTTGGGGATAAACAAAGAAAAGGCCTCTTCTTTTGTAGGTTATCCATAGTATTGATCTTACCATAAAAGGCTTCTTAGCATAAAACAACCACTTTAGGGGGAATGGGCCTTAACCAGATTTCTTTGACAGGGAACTCCAAAGAGGGGTAGAATAAAGGGACTTGAAATATGAAGCATAAGTAAAGGAACCATTAGGAGTTAGAGTCCAAATTCTTCTATTAGGGTTAGAGAGGTCCAAATAAACAGAGTCCAAAAGAAGCAAGAGCTCAGAGACACAAGCAGATTCATTCTCCCTTAAACCTCTATGAAACCCAAAATTCCAATTTAGAGTCAAGGGGAGAAAGAAATCTTGAAACAAGCTCATTTTTAAAGAGGGAGATAGAGTAGAGGGAGGGAAAGCGATCTTTTAGAGGTTGAGAACCCACCCAAATATCTTCCCAAAAAAGAATAGAATTACCGGAGCAGACGTCATACCTTACATACCTTAGGAATTTAGGGAGGGTGTCATAAGTAGCCTTCCAAGGTGTTGTGAGCAAAGCCCATCAAGATATCCTTACATCCCAACCAGTCTCAGAGCGTCCATGAATACTAGCCACCACCTCATGCCCTAATCTCTCTCTTTCCAGTGGCCACCTCCAAAGCCACTTACCTAGAAGAGCTTTGTTCTCAGCTGATCAAATGATCCTTTTTTTTTCTTCCCTTGGCTCCATAGGATGTTCCTCATCAATTTTTCAATCCTCTTAGCTTCCTTGTTAGGTATCTTAAAGATCGATAGAAAGTAGATTGGCAAATTGGAAAGTGTAGCTTTGATTAAAGTTACTCTGCCCCCCAATGAAATGTAGTTCCTCCCCCAGGCCGCCAATCTCTTTTCAAACTTTTCCACCACAGGGTTCCAAAACAGACTTTCCTTTGGGTTGGCACCTAGGGGAAGCCCTAGATAGGTCAAAGGCCACTCGAAATAGGTGCAATCTAAGTAGGCAATGATAGTCTCCAATACCCCCTCATCCAAGTTTAGTCCAACCACACAACTCTTCTCAAATTGATTTTCAAATTAAAGGCACTCTCAAAGAGGATAATATGATTATTCAAACTTCTCACTTTCACCAAGCTACAATCCTCACAAAAGATGATAATGTCGTCTGCAAATTGAAGGTGGGTTACCGGAACTCTATTTCTACCAATTCTCCAACCTCTTATTAACCCAACCTTATCTGCTTTTGATAAAAGTCTACTAAAAGCATCAACAACCAAAGTGAATAAGGAGGGGGATAGTGGGTTACCTTGTCTTAGACCCCTATAGGCTGGGAAGAAGTCATTAACCACCCCATTGACCAGAATAGAATAATGACAGGAAGTAAGACATCCCTTAATCCATTTACACCATCTATCCCCAAAGCCACACTTCCTGAGCACCTCTAACAAGAAACTCCAGTCCACTAGATCATAGGCCTTATCGAGATCCGATTTACAAACGAAGCCTTGATTACCCGATCTTCTCATCTCCTCTACACATTCATTTGTTATTAAAATTTGATCAATTATTTGTCTCCCTTGAACAAAAGCACCTTGGGCCCATCTCAATTCTTGCTCCTATGTATTCATGGTTCTTTGGGACTCCTTCACATCTAACTCCTCTATCTAGGTTAACAGAGTTGATTTCGATTCTTCTAGTCTCCCAAATTGGTCTTTATTCCAATCCTTTAGTTTTGATCTCAAGCTTCTCGATTTTTGTGGAGTCTCACCCCTTTCCACCTCGCCCCATATATCTTCCCTCCACCATTCCTCAATCTTCTTCACAAAGTCAGGGTGTGCCAGCCAGATGTTTTCAAATCTGAAGGGTCGAGGACCAAGCCTAAAAGGTTCTTGTCCTAACTCAATGGGACAATGATCAGACATAGCTCTGGATAGAGCTCTAGCTACCAAGTCCCTCCAATGACTTTCCCAACTTTCATTAAAAATATCTGTCTAGCTTTGAGCCGGTTGTGGTTTGCCAGTAAAAATTCCTTGGCTCCTCTCTTCCCAGATGGACTAAGTTAATGCTAATTTTGTTTTGCTTTTCCATAGAAACTTGCCCCCTTTTCTTGGGTGGATTAAAGAAGGAGATGTTGAAAAGGGGCCACCTGCATCTAAAGAGGGCAAAGAACCACTCCCAAATTCCAATTACTAAAGGACAGGAGATCAGTAGATGGTATATAGATTCTCCACAACAAAATCAAAGCAAACAGAATTACAGATGTGTGGGGATAGGCTCCAATTTGGTCTTTTCCTTTTAATAACATCACAAATATTAATTCTTTGAATGTAGCATCCGTTTTTGTACATGTTGAAAGTTGTCACACAATTCTTTTTCTCCTTGGTTGACTTGGTGTATACATATTCACAATGGAAGCAGGCAAGCTATCTGTTACAATTGAAATGGCATTCCTGATTCTCATCCAAATTGGATATTGTATTTTTCATTTAGGCCAAGGTGGTATTGCATGGCATATCTTTTTGTTATTGATTATAATATTCCAAATGCTATAACTTATTTTTATAGTACTTTGTGTAATGCTCAAGGACCGTTTCTTGGTATATTTGTAAAATCTTGGGGTCACAAGTGTGAGAATTGGGTTTGAGTCTGAGAGCAGCCATATCCAGTTCACCCATCCCAAGACCCTTGATGGCTGGGAACATTGGGTATTGGCCTTTTTTTGGTTTAATAATGCTCAGTAGTGCTTCCCCTAGCTATCTACATGTCTGTTATATGTGTATGCATAGAATTTGAGTCAGCTACCATGTTTTGCAACAACTGTGTGGAGATACAGTTGTTTAGTTTGTGGATCCACTACTTGTTACTTATTTGTTACTGTTTTATTATTATTTGTTATTGTTCCTCTCTTTTATGTAGGTGGCAGGGATATTCCTGTCTTTGTACTTCTTCTTTTGATTAATATAAATAGCAATTCATTGGGGTGGCAGTATAATAAGAATCTGCACCTCTTTTTCTTCATTCTGTCTTTTCTCTTCTTTTTTTTTGATCAGCCTGTCTTTTCTCTTATTCTTCTTCTCCCTTGCTCTCTCTCTTTCTCTCTCGTTTTCTCTTTTTTGCTGTTTACTTACAAAACGCAGGTCTGATTACCATTTGCTACATTCAACTAACTACGTTTCTTTTGTGCGAGTGTTTCTACCATCATTCACTCTGCAATTAGTTAACTCTTGCTGATCCATTTCTGCTATTGGTTTCACTTTCACATTCTCTAGCTATTGAAAGTTTCCACAACATTGTATAGTGACAGAATTTTGCCTTTGTAGCCCTGAGCTGCGTTTTGTTCTCTTTGTACATCATCTCATGTACCCCTTGTGCTATTAATAAAGTTGGTTACTCTTTTCTCTGAAAAGTTTATCTTTAAGATCATGTATGCCACCATCCTGCTTGAGAATTTATTATCCTTTTGGTATAAACCCCAGTGAATTCTTAACAAGATGATGTATGATGGATCTGCAAAGTTTTCTTCCAACAAGTAATGGTCCAATTAAAAGGCTTAGATTTCTTGATTTGAAGGAAATTGTCATTTAGCTAGCTGTATGGTGAGGGACTTCAAAAGTATTCCGAAAACTTGAAGTTTCGGCAATGGTAACCCTGAATCCAAAAAATAATCATATTCAAGTAGCAGTTGAAGAAGAGGTATTTTAGGTTAGTCGAAAGTATGAAAGTGATGCGAGGTTTTTTAGTTGCTAGAATCTTGTCATTTGTGGTTGGGATTTGAATTTAAACCTAATCGTTATTCCGTAGTAACTAAGATATACATGAATATGCTTTAGAAATTAGTTCACAACCAAAATTTCCAATATAACGACTTCTTAGTAGCTAGAGCATTGCCTTTTGAGTTCCTCGTCATCTTGCATCTTCCACTTACTTTAAGGTGTAGGGTTATGGTTGGGCCTAACTAACTCCAACCCAAAGTGATGCAGCCACAAAGGGGAGAAGAATCAAAGGTGAAAAGTTTTGGAACCGGGAGAAACTTGGTTTTGGTTCTGGTGGGGCACAACATAGATTGAATTTTTAGATAGAGTAATCGAATCTCTTGAAATGAACAGCACGTGTGGTTTAAATACTGATTTGGTTTATTATAGTTATTTTTAAATTAGTAATGGGTTTTGTAGTTCTTTTTTGAGTATTTAATTAGTCAAAACTTCAGATGACAAGTTCATATATAATCCGAGAATATGACAAGCAGGTAATAGAAGTTGCTTGCTCATGAAGAAACTCCAGCTAGAACTCTGTATGAATTAATTTATAGTAGCATTTGTATGGATGAATTAAATAGAATGAAGATTTTTTGATGGTAATACCTGCCAGTATGCTATTTCTCTTCTCTGAACCTGTGTCATTTTTTTCTTATTTTCTGAAAATCTCAGATGGACCTTAGCTCAAAAAATATGATCATAATAACCTTGATCTTCGGTGAACTGGCTTGACTATGTCTTGCTTAAATAAATTAGTAAAGCTATCCAAAGAAGGTCTCAATTAGAAGACTGAAATTGATGCCCTTTGCATTGCAAATACCTAAGGTTGCGATGCAAATGTATTGCTAGCATCTAGCATTATAGGATGGAAGAAAAGGAGTGCAAGAAATCGATTTGAGGGCAATTGTGAGCTGGTTAAGTGGCAATAAGCAATCAGCATGGGCTTATAGGAATTTGGTGAAGAAAATTCAGCATTTATCCTTGGAAATGTAGATCACCTTTTCTTGGTTCAGAGATCTGCAAACAACTTTGCATACTCAATGGCAAAAGCTGCAAAACAAGGGGTAGTAGAAGAAATCTAATTTGGGAAAGGGTAACCTGATGATGTAAAGAACAGAGGCCAGCTAGTTCAGCTAGGCCAATCTGATTGTATGCGAGTACATAATTTTACTTCATAATCATTAAAATTTGATACAGTTATAAATTGAAAAAAGAGAAAGAAAGAAAGAAAGAAATGTCAGAAATCCATCAAAAGGTATGGCTCTAATTTTGCAAGATTTCCTGTGAAGTTGATGATGAAGCCATATCTTCAAATCTGGCAGTTGGGTCATCTTGAAACTTAACATGGTGTGATTTCATTGTCAAAAGCTGATTATAAAAATTTTTGTTGTCAAAACCTATTGCTGAATTGCCGAACTCCTTTTTTTCTTCCTCTTTGATTGGTAACATATGACTTTATTGATTATGAAAAAAGAATTGGATGTATTTACAAGATTGATAATAGTAAATAATTTTTATAATTCTTAATTTTTTGTATGTAAAATAAAAATTATTTTTATATGTATAATTTTTATTTTTGAGAAAAAGATTGGCTTGTAGTCGAGCTCGAGGTGAGCCGAACTCGAACTTGCGAGCTTTTGAACCGAGCCGAACTTGAGCTCGAGCCTAACACTATTTCTGTTTGCCAAGCTCAAATAGCCAAGTAATCGGCTTGGCTCGACTCGAATCCACCCCTAATCATCCCCAGGGAAACTAATCCAGTTGCTGATGGCCTAACCATGGTGGAGTAAGGGACTAAGGGGGATGTGAACAATGGACTACCATTCTGGGATGGATATTGTTTCTATTTATTAACTTGCATATGAAGCATAGTTTGTAGCCTTGTGCTTTCTTCCATGTCCTTGTTTAGGGAACTGGATTTTGTACTTGTATCATCATCTTTGTTATGTTTTAAATGGAATTTTATTTCAGGTATCTCTTATGAAAAAAATGTTATCTATCAATATAAAAAGGCCTTTCTCTAGTGCTGGTCCCTGGTCTGGCATTATAGCATGAATTGGCTATTCTTATATTGAACCCAAGTTTTCATGCTTATCAGCCTGAGTTTTTATCATCACATACAGCAATGGGGCAAAGGAAAAAAAAGAATAGAAGAGTCATCTTTCATTTTCTTACTTGTATGCCAACCTCATTGTCAATGAACATTAAATACTTGCAAATGTTTGTAGATGCTTTATTTCCTTTTATTCCCTAACTCAAAAGTTGTTTTCCAGGTTGCAGATGAACTTGTAGCTGAATTTGCAGATCCTAGCAACAGCCTTGCATCTCCAGATCAGGTAAAATGTTTTCGAACAAGCTAATTGAAGGGTGTTATATCCATATGTCTACTAAATGCTCAAGAGTTTGCATGGCCTACGTGTAGTTCTTTTTCTTGCTACTAAACTGGCTGCATTACTATAAATTTGATTGAGGACATTGTCATTTCACATGTTTTCACCTAAGATTGTCCATTTCTGCAATGGTTATTGGGTGGAAAGAGACGATAGCAGGGGGCTTTGATCTCTTTGATATTACAGCAGAGGTTTGGCTCATTCTCTCTCCAAAGGAGGATTGAGGAGATTTGAGATGTATTTGGGCCTTCTTTCCCAGGTTTGCTTGCTGTTACTTTTTTCTTCTTTTTTCAGTTGGTAACTGATGTAGCCTATAGGACATGAAGGAGAATTCCTACTAGGGTGAATGTGATGGGTAAAGAAGGGAAATTGATGATCTAGATTATGAAAAAGAGGTTCAGACCTAAAATAGAGAAAAGAAAGAGAATTAAGATTGCACCTTTTGAATAAAAAGAGATAAAAGAGAGAAAAGGTCATGCTCTTACCCATAGGTAGTTTCAAAACAAGCCTTTATTCAATTTGTTCTCATTTAAAAACTGAATTATGATGACTATTTTTGGACTCAACACAAGGGCTCTGATCTCTTTTTATAGTCTCCAATTTAGGCTAAAAAATCACTTAACACAAAAGGTTTAAAAATTGACCATATAGACCTCCTAATTGCTTTAAGACTAAAGCTAACAATAGGTAACCCTTAAGGACACACAAATAAGGACTTACGCCCCTAAACTAAAACAACTTTAATAACACTCAACTAATCCTGTTACAACTGAACAAACCAAAAACAACTACAAGATTGAGCCAAAAAACTAGAAAGACTTAAATACTTTTACAAATTGACACTTTATCCTTAGAATGGCTATAACCTATGATGTCCAGATTTGGATACAGACATGGGCAGAGAGATACAAGAAATGGGTATATCACTTTCCATTTCCTAAAATACCAAACATGGATACAGGTATGATTATCCCATGCATATATCATGCTGTTATCTAGTTTCTGAACATAGTTGTCAAGTGCCTTGCCTGAATTCCATGGATTATATAAAAATATCTCTCTTTAGGGGACAAAAATCACATAGCAAGCACTTTATTGCGATATTATTGCTATAGCTAACATCTTATTACTATGTGTGTTGATTCCTATAATATATTATGTGTATTACTTACACTTTGTTTTAAGGGTTTTATCACTAAAACATGAAAGATCCAAGGTTTTAAGAAGAGAAAAAGAATTAATGAAGAGAAGGTTAAAGAGATGGGTACAAAAGCAAGGTTTTTTTTTGATCAATAACAGAAACAATTCATTAATGGGGTGGTAAGGGATTTTTTTTCCAGCTAGTAGGGGTATTAGACAAGGGGATCCACTTTCACCTTTTCTCTTTACCTTGGTAGCTGATGTGTTCAGTCGAATTATCACAAGGGCTGATAGAGAAGATGTGATAAAGGGATGGAGAATAGGCACAAACCAAATTCCAGTAACTCATTTGCGGTTTGCGGATGACTTGATGATCTTCTGTGGTGGTGGTGGTTTTAGTGAGAAGGTGGGAAACTTGAAAGAATTGATTAAAGCCTTTGAAGGAGTGTCCAATTTGAAAATCAATTTAGAAAAGAGCTGCATTGCTGGAGTCAATCTAGACTTTGAGGAGGTTGAGGCTTTTGCAAATTGTCTTCAGTGCTCCATTTCTACTTGGCCTTTGTCCTATTTAGGGCTGCTGTTAGGGGCAAACCCTATGGAGAGTACGTTTTGGACCCCAGTTATAGAGAAGTTTGAAAAGAGATTAGCTTTGTGGAAGAAAAATTACATCTCTTTGGGTGGGAGGATCACCTTGATAAGAGCTACCCTTGTGAACCTACCTAGGATACCATCTAGGGAAGCGAAGAAACTGGAAAAATTAATGAGGGATTTTCTTTGGGAACCGGGAGAAGGTAAAAAAGACCGCTTAATCAGTTGGGAGGTTGTGGGTAGAAGCAAAGAGGAAGGAGGATTAAGGCTTGGGAATGTGCTTAAGAAGAATTCAGCCTTGTTAGGGAAGTGGTTGTGGAGGTGGCCTATGGAGTGAGATAAGTTGTGGCATGAAGTGGTGAAGAGTATTCATGGATGCTCAAAGAGTGGATGGGATGCTAGTGCTTCAAGGAGGGCTAACCTAGCAACACCTTGGAAAGCAATTCACAAAATTCTTCCACAGTTCCTAAGTTGTATAAGGTATGATGCTTGTTCTGGTAACTCTATTCGGTTTTGGGACGACATTTGGGCGGGAGATCTTCCCCCAAAAGACCTTTTATCCGTCCTTGTACTCTATTTCTTTGTACAAAAAAGAGGTGATTTCAAAATTCATTCCTTCAGTTTTAAATTTGTTGTCTTTGTCTTGGGACTTTGGTTTTCGTAGAGGGTTAAGGGAGGATGAAATTGATTGTTTGTTTGCTCTTCTTGATCCCCTCAATAAGGTTTGGTTGGATCCTTTGAAGCTTGATAAGAGGATTTGGGCCATTCACCCTAATGGGTCTTTTTCTTGTGGTTCCTTTTTAATTTCTTGTGCCAAACCTCCTCTCAACAAAGTATCCCTTCCAAAGAAGTCTGGTGTAGACCGGTTCCCCCCAAGGTTATGGCTTTGTGTTGGGAAGTGTGGCATGGTAAAGTAAGCACGATGGATAACCTACAAAAGAGAAGACCCCCTATGTATTTCTCCAAACTGGTGCACTCTTTGCAGATCTCATGGTGAGGACTGTTATCACTTATTTTTATCTTGTAGTGTCACTGCAGAACTCTGGGTTTGGCTTCTATCTTTGTTTGGGTGTAGATGGGATATGCCAACAGAAGTAAGTACAATCTTTAACCCTTCTATGTTCTATTGGCCCCAAAAAAGAGGAAGAAAAATGTGAAGGTGTGCACGAGTAGCCTTGTTATGGACAGTTTGGGAAGAAAGGAATGCCAGGATCTTCCAGGAAAAGGGGAGAAGCAGTCAGGTCTTGAAGGACTGCATTTTGTACAGGGCATACATTGGTTAAAGACTCTGGATTTGTTTGATCATTTCTCCTTTATTGACTGTTGGAGGGATTGGTTATCAGTAGCAAGTTGTTCCTCCTCAAAGATAAAAGGTAATGACAAGTTGGGTCCCCCCTCCTCACGGTTCTTTGAAGCTGAATTTTGATGGAAGTAGCTAGGGCAATCCAGGTCCCTTTGGTTTGGGAGATGTATTCAGGATTGAGACTGAAGAGGCTGTCTTACTATACTCTGGCCCTTTAGGTGGTGTTGGTAACTCTATTAGGGCAGAGCTGTTAGCTGCAATACAAGGAATAAATCTTGCAAAAGAAATGGGTGTGGAGCAACTTCTGGTTGAAGGGGACTCTAAGACTGGTGAACTGGTTAAATAATCCGGAGAATGTCACATGGGACTACAAGAATGAGATAAAGAAATTCAAATGGCTGACAAGGAATATGTCTGTAACAGTACAGTGGGTTGGGAGATCAGTTAATGCTTTTGCTGATGTCTTGGCAAAACAAGGGACAAACAGGGAAACATTGTTCTGGGCGCAATTGTAATTTGTAATTTGTGTCTTTTGTAACAGTCATGTTTTTTTTTTGATGTAGTTTTGTGTTTTCTGTATGGAGAGGCAGCACCTCACGCCTCTCTAAGGGGATTCTCATGTAACCGATCCTTGAATTAATGGAATATGACTCTTTACTTATCAAAAAAAAAAAAAAAAAAGAGATGGGTACAGAAGCAGGGGGAGATATACTCTCTTAACTCCCCCAATATTAAGAGATTACAAACAAGCCCAGAACAAATGATTTCTTCCCACCCCTTGTTTGGCTAGTGCATCTGCAAAGGAATTGACACATCTCTTAACCCATTGTACCCTCACTGTCATATCCCGAGTTAGCCGTTTAAATACTCTATTTTCATTCAGGTACCTCCACATGCTGCTCTCCTCCTTTTGCAACCAGTCTATTACCAACTTTGAATCTCCCTCAATAATCACCCGTCTTAAGTTAAGCTCCTTGGCCTTTTTGGCACCTTCCAAGATTGCCAAGACTTCAGCTCGGAGGGAGTCTCCTTCCCCAATTGGGCCTGAGAACATGCCAATAATCGCACCCACCTCATTCCTAAAGATCCCTCCAATGCCTGAGGGTCCGGGGTTACCTTCACTGCTACCATCAAAATTCAACTTTATAAAGCCGGGGACCGGAAGAGTCCACATTGGATGAGGAACAACCTTGTTAGGGGCTGAACAAGCGACTTCCTTCCAATTGTTCAACGGAGCTGAAGTGGGAATATCTTCAAATAGCTTCAAGGACTTCACCCATTGTATCACCCTTGTCATAATTACTTCAATAATTGCCTCTCTAGATCTTATCTGCAAGTGTTCTTTGATTCCTTTCTTTTCTTTTTTTTTTGATCTATAACAGTAACTTTCCATTAATAGTAAACAGAATTAATTACAAGGAAGGGGAGATAAACTTTCTTAACTCCCTGGGTTGGGCAGGAGCCCCCATGAAAGCAATAAGAAGAAATTACAACTTTGCCCAAAAGAAAGAATCCCGAGCCACCCCTTGCTTAGCTAACCCATCTGCAAGAGAGTTAGCAGATCTTTTCACCCAGTTGTACTTTACTTCCATATCCTTTGTCAGCCACCTGTAGTTTTTCTTTTCATTACCGAAGTTCCACAATCCCGCCTTTATCCTCTTGTATCCATCCTACTACCACCTGTGAGTCACCTTCAACCACAAGTTTCCTTATATTCATCTCCTTTGCCTTTCGTATTCCCTCCAGAACCACAAAAATCTCAGCCCTGAGGGAGTCACCTACCCCTATATGGCCAGAAAACATAGCTGAAATAACCCCTTTCTTATCCTTGAAAACTCCCCCAATACCAGATTGTCCTGGGTTCCCTCTACTACTGCCATCAAAGTTCAGTTTTACAAAACCATTAGGAGGGGTC